CACACGTGAGCTGCAGCCTACTTCCCCCCGCCTTTGGGAAGATGATTCCATGATTCACCGTCCCCTTGACGTGGCGTAGTAGCCGCTTTACGCAGCCAGATGATCCTCTCTCGGGATCCTCCATGAAGCGGCCGACGAGCCCACGGCGAACGCAATGTCTCGGCCTTGTGTGGACTAGGTAGCGCAGATCGCCGACGATGCTCCGGTAGAGTGTTGCATCTACTTTCGCCGCGGTGCTATCCTTCGTCAGCTTCAGCCGCTCCTCCATCGGAGTCACGCATGGCTTGCACTCCACCATGCCGCTCCTCTCCAATAGCTTGGAGGCATACGCGCTTTGCCCGAGCGTGAGTTCCTCCTTCCCCTGTCTCACCTCGATGCCGAGGTAGTAGGAGAGAGCGCCGAGATCCCTCATTCGAAACGAGCTGCCATCTCTCGCTTGAAGTGTTGATATTCTCCGTCGCGCCGCGATGACGATTAAGTCATCCACATACAGGCCGACCACGAGTTCTTCCTTCCCCCGTCGTCGCATGTAGAGCGCGTGCTCGGTTGCGCACCTCTGAAACCCAAGTTCGCCCAGCGTGGTGTCAAGCTTGGCGTTCCATGCTCGAGGGGCTTGCCTCAGCCCATAGAGTGCTTTTTGCGCGATCGAGCACCACTGTGCTCCTCTCCCTTGACAAATGAACCACGGAGGTTGCCCGACGAAGACCGTTTCCTTGCCACTTCGCCATTGAGGAAGGCCGATTTAACGTTCATGTGATGGACGCGCCATTCTTTGCGCCGCCAAAGCAAGTAGCAAACGGACCGACTCCATCGCCATCTTTGGTGCAAAGACCTCCTCGAAGTCGATGCCCTCGCTACCGACAAAGCCTCGGCGACGAGGCACGCCTTGTACTTGACAATGGCGCCGAGCTCGTCCTTTTGACTTTGTACACCCACTTCAGCTGATCGGACGGCATCCTCGGGGTGGATCGACGAGCTGCCAAGTCTCGCTTTCCTCGATCGCCTTCATCTCCTCTAGCATTGCCCGTCGCTAGTTTCCATCGCGCCGGCTAAGCGCGAACGTGGTGGTTCCTCTGCGACCGACGAGTAGCAGCTCTGCGTCGTTGAGCGACCTACCCGCCATACCGAGGGACTGTCAGCCGCCGATGATGTCGCCCGACTGCGGAACCTCAACTCCTCACCTTCGTGGTAGGCGTCCACGAACTCAGTGATGTCACTTGGAGGTGAGGCGAACTCGATCAGGGGTGATGGAGTTCCTTCTTCCGCCGGAGTGCCCTCGCCTTTTAGCACCCGGTGCTTTCGCAGACCGCTTCGGATCGCTCATCATAACTCCTGCAGTGTTCGGCCACACTGTAGGAGTGCCCAGCCTCAGTCTTGGAGTGGTCGGAACCACAGTAAGACGTCTTGGCTCCGCCACGGGAGTGCTCGGTACCCGTCCTGAAGTGGTCGCCGCCACTGTAGAACCGCCTGGCTCCACTCCTGACGTGCTCGGAATTTCTCCAGAAGTGCTCGACACTCCTCTCGGAGTGTTCGGCATCCCTCTTGAAGTGCTCGGCACTGCCCTAGAATTGCTCGACTCTACCACCGGAGTGCTCGGCGCTCCTCCCGGAGTGCGTGGCACCTGTTCCGCAGCGTCTCCACCGCCGTGGATGACCAAGTGCTCGACGACGAAGGTGTTGGTGAAGCCTCCCGCTTCCCCCGTGCTCGGACTGTGCCAGTCCCAAGCTGCCTCCTCGTTGAACACAACGTCGCGCGAGACAGTCACCTTGTCTCCGCGTGGGTCATAGAGCTGGTACGCCTTGGTACCCTCCGCGTAGCCCAGGAACACCATGGGTGTGCTCCTGTCCTCCAGCTTGGTGAGGTTTGGCTTTGTCTTCCTGACGTGGCCGATGCAACCGAATGTTCGGAGGAATGACACGTTCGGCTTGCTCCCGTACCAAGCTTCGAACGGCGTCTTGCCCGTTAGGGCTTTGGTTGGAGCGCGGTTGAGGATGAACACCGCCGTGGTCACCGCCTCTCCCCAGAACTTTGCCGGCATCCCTTTGGCCTTCATCATGGATCGGGCCATGCCGACCACTGTCTGGTTCCGTCGCTCCACCACGCCATTCTGTTGTGGCGAAATCGACGCGGTGTGATGTTGCCCCACACCTTGATCCGCGCGATGCGTAGCAAACTCCACCGAAGTGAATTAGCCACCCGATCAGTCCTCGATGAGGAGCTTCTTGCCGCTCTCGGCCTCGCGCGCTTGAACTTCTTGATCGCCACCGCCGCTTCGTCCTTGCTTGTCGAGTTGCGACCACATGTAGCGACTGCAATCGTCCACGAGTAGGAGGAAGTACCACCGACCACCGCATGTAGCAGGCGTGATCGGCCCGCAGAGGTCGCCGTGAACTAGCTCGAGAGCTTCCTTCGCGCGATACTTGGCCGCCTTTGGGAAAGGTAGCCTCCTCGCTTCGCCGGCGCAAATGTCACCGGCTTCGCCTCCGTGTTTGATGTAGGGTAGCCCTCGGACCATCTTCCCTAGCCGACCAAAGCGCCGTCGGGCCGAGATGTCCGAACCGGGCATGCCACATCCACGGTTCCTCGGAGTGCCTTGCCGCCAGTAAATCGGCCGCTCTACCTTCGGTCGGCGGTACAACGGTTCGAGGACCTCTTCACCTTGGCGAGAAGTCGCTGCTCCCGGTCTCTCGATCCTCGAACGCCGCCCTGATCGTAACCTCGCTACCGCGCTCATCCGAGCTTGACCAATGCCGATGATGTTTGAACGCAGCAACGGGATGTAGTATACATCCGTTAGCGCACGCGGTGCTCCCCATTCGGCATCTGAAGATGATGGTGCCGCGCCTTTGATAGCCACCCTTGAGCCGTCACCAAACTTCACCGTACCGGTAACATCGCCGTCGAGCTCGGAGAAGGAGTCCTTGGAGCCCGTCATGTGGTTACTGGCACCAGAGTCCAGATACCACCGCTGCTCCTGGTCGACGCCCACATGCCCAAGATGGACTTGGGCGCGTGGTTCGTCGAGGTTGACGGTCTTCAGGGCCTTGCTAGATCCTTCCACCGTCGTCGCCTCTTCCCTCTCCATGGCCTCGGCGTCGCCGCGATTGCCACGTAACGTCGCCATAAGGATAGTAGCCTCATCCTCATCATCGGCTTTCGCCAGTGAGCTGAGCCTTCTTTTCCTTCTTGCGATTTGGGCACTCCGCGCCCAATGGCCCATCTTCCCGCAACACCGGCGAGCGTTGAGTCGATTTGCTTCTTCACCGAAGAAGCCCCGCCGCCGATGTTTGCCGCTGCCACCGCGACCGGAGGAGGCTGCCTTCCCGGAGTTTCGCCGAGCAGCCCACTCTCTCTTCCGTCGCCAGGAGTTTCCTGCTATCCTTCGTTCTTCGTCGCTTTGCTCCAGCGCCGTCCCACCGCCCGTGACGGCGGCGCCGCGCATCCTCGATGGTGAGGGTGGACAAGTCCAAAGATCGTCTCTATGGATAGAGCGATCTGGATGTACTTTGCCGACACGGAGTGGAGGAACTTGAGACCGCCTCCTCTTCGCCGATGGTGACGCCGTGGCTCTTCACTTTTGGCGATGAGCGTCTGCAGCGGAGGGAGAAGTCCTCACCGCTTTCACCATCCTTGAACTTGAGGTTTGCGTACTCGCCTTGAGAAGCCGGGCGCTGCCTTCTTTGCGGGGGTCGGAACCAACGCGCATCGCCGCAATGGCCTCCCACGCCTCCTTAGCTGAGCTCTTTGTCCCCAACGGTTCCCTATACTCCCTCCGCCGTACACAGCAGCGTAGTATAGCCTCCATCGCCCGACATGTCGTCTTCTTCCACGCCGGTGCCCTTGTCAATAGACATTCCGAGAGCCGACGGGCTCGAAGCTTGACCTTCATGGTCACCGACCACTCTCCATAGTTAGTGCGGTCGGCGTCGGCCAAGTGGTGCCACCGACCTCCCGCACCGTCACGAACAACTACCTCCGGTAGTGGTTGGGCAGCCACGACAGTGCCACTGTTGTCGCCCAACTCCGAACCGCTTGCCATCGCCATCGCCATCGGTAGAATGACGACGGCGCTTGTATGGCTCGATACCACTTGTTGGCCCACAATTAGCCTCCCCGACCACCGAGATGATCTCCGCACCACTCCGTTGGTCTCACAGATCACCGGCTCACGACGATGAACTACTCCACCGATCTTGCCGACCACCGGCTCAAAGCGAGTGGAGCACTTGTCGGTCTCGCCGAGCACGCCGCTAGTATTGCCGAGCACCCACTAGCCGTGCAAGGACCACGTCTGGCGTTGTCCGTACCCACACACTACGGATCGAGCTAGAAGAGGAAGGAGAACAGAGCAAGCACGCACAATATAAGGCAACAGCGTTGGCCGAAGCCCTGTCTGTGTGATGGCAAATCTGAGCTCTCTTTACCGAAGTTGCGATACATGTCTATTTATACAACTCTAACTATCTAGTCCATGTGCAGCGCCCATGTGCTGCACAAAGAACTAGATAACCCGGCGAGTATGACTCACGCCGCCACCCTTTGCTGTTCTTCTGATCTTGTAGGTGAGCCGTCGCCGGCGCCTGCACTCTCTACAGCTGCCATCAGATCATAGCGAGGGGCAAAGTCGGCGCCGCTTTCCCTTGCTGTGTTCACACACACGTGACTAAGCCTAAGTCGGCGCCGCCTTTCTCTGCTGTGTTCTCACAAGGTGGCAGTAGATTAGCTAACAAAGGGCATCTTGCTATGGACGCACCCAGACTGACGAGGCCCATTCTTTCATCACTGTATTTTCCAACTTTGCACTGGTCTGCAGTCTGCTCAGTGCACAAAGAAGGAACCGTTAATAAGTAGACAAATTAATAGTCAATTAATGGAACTGAACTTGGTTTAGTCCCAGTATGCTTGCTAGGTGCCTTGCTTCAGTTTCTTCATCAGGAAGATGGTAAAACAAGCATAAGCCCTGATTAGCTGATGATCGTCATGCATGTCTGCTAATGCAGGTCCGGCTGGACCCTGGCTGTTTGAGGATAGCAGTCGCTCCAGCTGAAATTTGCACATCATCACCATCAGCATCACCATCACCATCACCTTCACCACAGCCCTGCACTTCCCCCAATTGGACCATCGATGTCTCGGACGTGAGTCAGACGATCCATCTCCCTGCACCACCGATATCTTGCATTGCTGCTCATATCGTTCATGTGTTTTTTGTTTTTTTGGCGGGCAATATTATCTGTGTTTTACAAGGGGGAAAATTTTAGTGGTTTTTGTTGCGTCTACTTAGGCCTGTACATGGTCCGGATTTCCCGGGTTATCGACTAATGGTTAATTTTCAACCCAACCAGTGTGTCTACTGTCTAGTATATGGGTTGGTTAGGTTCAGTGAGTTGGATTGGTTTACGGTTTTCGCGACTCTGGAGGTTTCGTCTGCAGCAGCTGGCCTTTGCTGTGGGTCTGGTTTACGTAGGAGCGCCGCGCCACCGCCCGAGTAGGCAAAAAAACCTAGTCGATGCCCATACGGTCATACCACAAAAACTGTTCTCTTTGGCAAAAAGATCAAATCAGTGACCAATGTTCAGCAACATATTCAGTGTTTCAACGTAATATGTGTTTCGTTCTGCACAGTACAATCTAATAACTAAAGCTCATTCATTGATTGATCTAGTGTTGATCTCTCTGCTTCAGGTCAGAACTATCAAGGTGACAAACGTGCCTCTCTCAGCGACCGCGGAGAACATGAAGGAGTTCTTCTTCTCCGGCGAGATCGACTTCGTCGAGATGCGAAGGTGTGATCGATTCCCTTGCCAACTCCCAAGTCCTAAACCATGCACAATTTTTCCCAACTCCCATGTGCTTGTTTCTGCTCTAAATCATGGCAGGGACTCGGAGACATCTCAGGTCGCTTATGTCACCTTCAAGGAGTTCCATGGAGCTGACACAGCTCTGCTCCTCTCTGTATGCATGCACACCTAGCTTGCGTCCGTCTAGCATCTATCTCTCAACATTTTTCTTTTTAACTTTCAGTAAATCCTTTCGATCTCCTCTTGATTGCAGGGATCAAGCATGTGCGGCGATGTTCCTGTGAACATCGCACCAGTGGAAGACTACGAACTGCCACCGGAAGCCTACTCCCATACAGAAGCAAGGTCACCGGCGGCGCCGGGAACGCCGACCGGGGAGGCCGTGAAGAAGGCGGAGGAGGTGGTGAGCACCATGCTGGCCAGGGGTTTCGTGCTGAGCAAGGACGCGCTGCGGCGCGCGCAGTCGTTCGACGGGCGGCACCAGCAGCTGCTGTCCACGGCGACGGCGCGGGTGGCGTCGCTGGACCGCCGCCTGGGGCTCAGCGACAAGTTCAGCCTCGGCACGGCCGCGGCCCGCGGTGCGGCGCGCGGCGTCGACGAGCGGTTCCAGGTCACGGAGCGCGCCTGGGGCGCCTTCTCCGCGGCCGGGGAGGTCGTGGCCGGCAGCCCCTACGCGTCCCGCGGCGCCGCCTGGGTGTCGGCCGCCGTCGGCGCCGTCGCCAGGGCCGCGTCCGACTTTGGCGCCATGACCATGGAGAAGGTGGTCAGGGCCGAGGTGGAGGACTTGGCGGCGGATGGCGCGGGCGCCGAGGCGGGGCAAGGGCACGCGGCCCGTGTCGACGTGCACGACGGACAGGGAGTTGCAGCTCACCACGGTGACCAAAAGAATAAGGCAATGTAGAAGTACATACAGGAGTAATATATGACTATGATGATTTTTTTTCTTCGGCTTTCTTACTTAGTTATACACAATGAATGCATAAAGGTTTTTGAAAAATAAGATAGAAATGGAACTGCATGCATTTGTCCTGTTAATTTGACACAATATATTCTATATCTTTTTCGGTTTGAGACAAGTTCAAATTTGGCACGAAATTATATTAAGATTTTTAATAAAGATCTGTTGCTTTGTTAGAGCACTGGTTTTTAGCTTACCAATCAGTCACATTTTCTAGCAGACATCGAATGTTGATTGAACAACTTAGATTTGTATTCGCAAAAACAACTTAGATTTGTTTGGGTAAAATTGTCACTTCCTGCTCAAACAGCGATAATGGGTCTGCTCTCTGATAAAGCATATTTAAGGTGTTTAGTGGCCCGTTTGCTGCTGGGCTGCTAGCAGGCTTTTGTCAAGCTGCAGTCCAGGAGTTACCGGCCTTGAGTTTTCTTTGTGGCAAAAGTCATTTCAACTCCTTCAATATCACAATAGTCTAGTTTTTCCTTGAATTTAAAATTAGATATCTTACCACCACCACCACCCCACTAAACTCTCAAAAATAGTTCAAATTACATCCCTCCCCCAGTTTGAAATGGTTAAGAGGCAGTTTTGTTTTTAGTTAAAAATCCGGTAAATACTTGATAATATTTTAAAACTATAAAAAATCTCTTTAAGTTTCCAAACTTTTTGAGAAATATCTAAGAGATAGATTGGGATACATGAACCAAAATAAAATATTTAGATCCCATAAAAATATCTCTACAAAAACTTCCAAAAATCATGATTAGCTCTAGGAAAATAGAAAAATATCCAATTTTTTAAATCATTCTAAAACATGTTTAGACGTCGATTATAATATTTTGGAATTTTATAGATTTTTTTATATTATTTTATTTTTCTAGAGCTAAATATATGTTCACAAGCTCAAAATATTTTATTTAGATTTTCCATATACTTGTCTATCTTTAGAATTTTTCTTAAAATTTTTAAAGCCTAGAGACACTTTTCTATGGTTTAAAAAAACTCATGAAATATTTACCAGATTATTTCTAATTTAACTAAAGAAAAGATAAATCCACCTTCGAAACCACTTCAACCCAAGACGGAAAGGTAATTTGAATAGTTTTAAAAAAATCTAGTTCTAGAGTTTGAGGAGCAATATCATATCATATTACGGTTATAGTCCAGAAAGATAAAATATAAATTTTCCCTTTGTTGCTGCTCTCTCACTTGCCTTTGTAAAGTAGTAAATATAAGGTAGCATGTTGCATTTCTGAAGGGGTTGGAACCACTCCATTCCACGTTTTTCAACTCTGGTTCACGTTTTTTAGCCAAACAGATTCAGCTCCATATAACTCTACTCAAAAAAAAAAATAGAGTTTTGAGAGCACCTGAAAGAGTACTCCGTAGACTCTAGCCTTTTGTGAAGCTGCTCCACGATAAAGTTTGTGGACTATAGTTCGTCGTGGAGCCGTTCTAAACCCCTCCTGTCCACAGATCAGTCACGACTTGTGACACAATCCTATCCAACGTCGAGTCCACGCACGCACGCACGCACATGAACATATACGTGACTGATCCGAACTCCGATCCGCTACGGACGGCTAACATGGAGTGGCATCCCCCCGCATCTGTGCTGTCTCGAGTACCTCGCCTTGCTCGGTTGGCGGATGCAATAGTAGGGAGCAATATAAAATTTAGGGTAAAGTTCACTTTAGGACCTCCAACTATCACAGAAGTATGGATTTCAACCTCCAACTTCAAAACCGGATAACATTGGCCCTCCAACTCTCGAAAAAGTTCACTTTAGGACCCTGGCCGGTTTCCCTGGCGGTTTTGCATGGCATCAGATGCAGATCTTGACGTCCAGCGATAATGACGCCAAGACTTCTTTTTAATTTGCAAAATTGATATCTTTTTATTCGGAGCTTCAAATATAGCAAATAATATATCAATTTTGATCGTCTCGACGAGCTCTTTGCAATGGTGTACTCCGTTTTGTTGTTTGAGATAATTTTATTTCATGAAAAAAATAAATATTTCTACAAAACAAGTTAGAATAATGTAACTCATGGAATTTGTTAGATAAATAATTTTTTATTATTATGTAACACGAAATGTTGTCTTTTTTAGGTTCATTTGACCATAGAATATATAAGTTTGACCATTTTTGAAATGCAATAATTCAAAACTTGTTTTGTAGAAATATTTCGCTTCGTGTCCGCTTCTATTCCGCAAATATTTATTTCAAATAATTCAAAATATTTCTGCAATAATTCAACAAGGCGCGCCCGTCCGTCCGGTTACGGGCTGCACGACACGAAGCTTCGCTTGTGTGTCGCCACCTCGCGTCGGACGGGCACGAGGGCGACGAGGCACACCGCAACGCCGACGCCACGGAGATCCTCGCCGCCGACGACCTTCCCATGGGCAACGCGCGCTCAACTTACCGATGCCGCACAAGATTCTAGACCACGAGTAAGCCACTCACTATTGCGCTACTACCTGCCCCTCAATTCAATCTAGCTATCCACTGCCACTTCATGCGGTCATACTCATGCCATGCCACCAGAAATGATACGCATGTGTCGGCCGAATGGTCGTCCAGTTCTCGTGGTTTGCAATAGTAGCCATAGGAAAGGAAAAAGGACAGTGTACACGAATCGTATATCTTTATATCGGATTTGGGTACAAGATAAATATAATACTACTACTACCACTAGCTACTTAATTTCACCACAAAAACAAAAAAAAAACTACACTAGGAGCAATAAACATATCGTTTGATCGTGTCATATGTTGACATTAGTTAACCGCAACTAGGGAAGGTTAATTCAAAAATATCTAAGCGATTGTGGCGTCCGATTGACCGTCCAACTCCCTGTTTTATATAATTGACTACGTTGGTGTTGTACATATACAAATATACAAAGTATATAAAATACTTGCATACGTCGACTTAATTGCATAACTTGTTTTGTAGAAATATTTATTTTTCATGAAATAAAATTATCTCAAACAACAAAACGGAGTACACCATTGCAAAGAGCTCGTCGAGACGATCAAAATTGATATATTATTTGCTATATTTGGAGCTCCGAATAAAAAGATATCAATTTTGCAAATAAAAAAAGAGTGCTGACGTCATCGCTGACGTCAGCACTGCTACAGTGCCATGCAAAACCGCCTGGAAACCGGCCAGGGTCCTAAAGTGAACTTTTTTGAGAGTTGGAGGACCAATGTTATCCGGTTTTGAAGTTAGAGGTTGAAATCCATACTTCTACGATAGTTGGAGGTTCTAAAGTGAACTTTACCCTAAAATTTATATATTTAAAAATAATCGCAACGCACGAGTACGAGCTGAGTAGCTAGGAAATGAAATATCTCATACGGAGTACACAAGAAATCAGTCCGACGTAAAGTTCCTTTTTCCTTAAATTAAAAAAAATGGTTCGCGCGCGTCCTCGTGTTTCTGCCCAGATCCCTTAAACAATGGCTAGTGAGTGACAAATCCAAAGCACACTGTTACTTCTCTTATATACAACCACACGTCATGCATGCATGGTTCTGAATTCCGCTCATGTCCAAAACACCTTTAGAGCTTGTTCGGTTACTCCGGAACGAAGCCTGGAACGATTGCCCGTTGGAACACTTCACTAATTTGTATAACGTCGTTGATAACCTGGAATAATTTCTCGCTCCATTCCGGCGAACGCACCCTTAGGATCGGCGACGCAAACCGGGAGCTCAGGTATCGCGCGTTGGCTCCGCCGCGACGTCGACAGCGACGGCGAGCCGACAAAAGGGACAGCGGCGGCCGAACATTAATTCCAAGACTCGGCTCGGCTGGGCCTAGCTGGGCGGGTGGCGTGGCGCCGGGCCAGTGGCCATCGCGCGCGCCGCGGAGATATTTTCCGTTTCAGCCGGGACGGGGTGCACGAGCAGAGCGGCAGATCGGGCTGCCTGGCGGCGACACGAGATTATTTGCATACATCCATTTTCACTGATTAATTATGTCCTGTCCTGCCAATATTATAATAATTGTTAAAAAAAACTAGCGGTTGTGTTGACTGTGACCAGAGATGAGGAGCATGTGCATGATATGTGGAATGATTTGACATTTATATGTGAGTGATATACGCATGATCGATACGCACCTAGCTAGACACCACGACGTTACTGGCCGGGATGGAGCAATCGCAGAGTAATGGACAAAAATTCTCGCAATGATTACTCTCGAGTAATGCGCAGAGTTATATATCCTAGATAACCGCTCGATTGATTGTTCCATCAAACGGCCTAAGTGGAAAAACCTAGCCAGCCACACCACATCATGCATGTGGTGGGCTCGGCTTAGCTCGTGAATGTCATGCTCACGCTTAAGAAGTTCATTCTTAGCGATGACAACCAACTAGATTATAATCAAGTGTTGATAAGTTCTCTTTTTTGTGAGATGTAACCAACTAGACAACAACTGTCATAGGAAGTTTTATATATAGTACTAATTGTTAGCTGCTAAAATATCTTAGATAATCCAAACAATTGTTAGTTTCTAAAAAAATACTTTAGATGCTCCAAACAGGTGGACTAATAAATTTTAGCCAACCATCCAACTAGTTGTTATGATGGCCTGTTTGGATAGTAGTCTAGATTGTAAATGAAAGTATAATAATTTAGATTATGACTGTATCAATCTATACCGTTTGGATCCTATAATATTATATAAATATGGATTACTGTTAGTTGGATAATAAATAACATATAACTTCATAAACATTATGACTGAAATTGATTATAGGATTATAATAATTCAATGGTTGGATTATTACCCAGCCTGTAATCTAGATTGTTTGAATCACTTTTAGATTATTTTATCTTATTGGTATAATTTAGTTGGGATCCAACCACCCTCTAGTCCATTAATTGAGCTAAAATGAACTAATGGATTAAGAAATGACGACCAA